GGGAGTGCAGACTAGTGCAACCACTATGGAAATCAATATGGAGATACCTCAAAGAGCTTGGACTGGAGGTGCCATTTGACCCAGCCATCCCTCTGTTGGGTATCTTTCCAAGAGAACTAAAAGAATCATATCACAGAGAAGTATGCGCACCCATGTTTATAGCGGCACAGTTTGTAATAGCTAAATCTTGGAAACAACCTATTTGCCCATCCGTTGGAAACTGGATAAAGAAGTTGTGGTTTTTCTATAAGATGGAATATTACTCAGCCATAAAGAGCGAGAGAATAGATTCATTCATAGGAAAATGGATACATATTGAAGATATACTCCTAAGTGAAATAAATAAGTCCCACATGTGTAAATACCAAATAGTTTCCCTGGTGTGAATATTCTGCAACAATGCATAAGATTCTAATAAGATTACTGACATTTAGAAATGGGAGGAAAGGAGCTAAAGGTGTAGGGAAGGTGTGATACGTAGGGGAAGAACAAAAAGGGAAAAGAAAAAAATGTGAGAGAATGAAAAGATGAAAATAAAGTGTTTGTAGATGGGGAGGGGAGGAGGGGGTGAAGGGAGGGCAGAGGTAAGGGGAAAAAATGAGAATCAAGACTTGCCATGTAAAGGTACATGATCCCAACAATGAATGTAAATGTACTGTATCCCTAAATGTACCAATAAACTCAATAAAAATAAATAAATAAATAAATAAATAAGAGACTTTTTTGAGCTGGGGAAGGGGTTTGGGGATGGGAGGGAGAAAGCAGGAGGTAAAGGCATCAAAAATGATCAAGATATGTTGTATACATGTACCAGTGCCCCAATACAAATGTAACATTATGTATTGTAAGCATACACTAATAAGGAAAAAAGAGTAAAGGAGTAAGAAAAAATCACAGAGAATGACCACATGAAAAAGACAAAAAGAACTGAGAGAGAAGGAAACTGAGAGTCCAGAGCTATAGGAAGAAACACAAAAGAAAGTATTGTTATGAGACAAGGGGAAGCAAATGTTTGAAGTTTTGCTGATTACAAAAAGGGACCAACATCATCAAATGCTTCACAAGTTACCAGGAGAATAGTGGAAAAGATTTACCCAAAACAGCATCATTGAACTCAATGAGAGCAATTTTGGCAGAATCATGAGGTAGGAAATCCTTTTGCTTGGATTAAAGTGTAAGAGGGAATAAGAAGAGAAACAGCAAATGTTGTGTGTGTATGTGTTTCCTGATATGGAAATAAATTACCAAGAAATGTTTAAATACTGACTGAAATCAGCTTATATAAATAAGGAAGTGTTTCAATTACAGCAAAAGTTTGAAAAGGCTGGAAGGGATGCAATCCAGATCTTAATGCAAAGAATAACCTTGGGTAGAAAGGAAATTTATTTTAGAGGGATGTGAAGAAAGCAAGAAAATATGTGTTTCCTGATATGGAAATAAATTACCAAGAAATGTTTAAATACTGACTGAAATCAGCTTATATAAATAAGGAAGTGTTTCAATTACAGCAAAAGTTTGAAAAGGCTGGAAGGGATGCAATCCAGATCTTAATGCAAAGAATAACCTTGGGTAGAAAGGAAATTTATTTTAGAGGGATGTGAAGAAAGCAAGAAAAATGATTAGAAGTGCTATTTTTATAAGATGTGGTCAATTAAACATAATTGGCTGTTAATTGAAGCTGGATCCCATGCACATGAGGGTTCATCATCTCATCCTCCAGTTTTGTATATTTTAAATTTCCTACAATAAAATATTAACAAAAAACGTCAGCGTAAAAATTGCTTTATTACTTGGGATACCTTTGAAGTAAAAGGAAAAGCTATCTGTTGAGAATGAAGGTTGTGGGTTGTAGGTTTGTTTAATAAAAATGATGGAAGTTTGAATCTGCTGCTATTGGAATGGGAGAAAGAGTTGATGATCCAGTTGAGGTTGGAGATCTTACATTTCAAGTGGTAAATATTTGTGTGTGGTATGATTCTCTTTAGGAATATAATTGTAGGAGCTGTTAAGGAAATCCATAATTTATTTTTTTTTCATTTTTTTGTGGTATGAGGATTGAACCTAGGGAGTACTGAGCTCTATCTCCAGTCCTTTTGCTAAACTTTACTTTCAGACAGGGTTTTGCTTAAATTACCTAGACTGGCTTTCACCTTGTGATTCTCCTTCCCCAGCCTTCCGAAGAGCTGGGGTTATAAGCATGTGCCACTGCACCTGGCCCATAAATGACTTTTGATTAGCTGGTGACAACTAAATATTAAGAGAAGCAACAATGTGATGGAGAACTTTGCTTTTCCCTTTATTAAAAAGTTATTGTGCTTTTTTAAAATAGGAAAATACTTTAGTATGTCAGTTTTGATTAAATTCCAAGTCAAGAGAGAGAAACTAACTTGTTAGATAGTTTTTCTTTACAATAAAATACTCTCATGTATTGTCATATAATACTGATCATAAATATTTACAAGGAAATTAAATGATAATAAAATAAAATAATCCAAATGCACGTCCATAAATATTTTTAGATTTTTAAACCAAATGTGCTTTTAAGTGCTTGTAAATTATTTATACTAAACAACTAGTAACTACCTAGAGGCAAAGCCACTTAAGACACTGACTTCCAAATTTAGTAAACTTTCTGATATCTCTACTAATGGCCTCATTTCCCATTCCAGACTTCCAACTGTTACTCTAGCTCAGATTTAAATGTATTTCTAATGAAGATTAATTGTTGTGCATCTTCCACATTTCATCAATATCCTCATAGCCCAAGAATCCCTTGAAGCAGAATGGCCTACCGTGAGTGCGTTTTGGAGCTGTGACCATTGACAAAAATCTCAATTTGCTGTATGTCCACTCCACAAATGTGTTTATATTTTGTAAACTGGACCCTGGGATTTAAACACTTTGGGTAATTAGTTACCAAGTAACCAACACTACAAAATACTATTTCATTAACCAAAACTGTGAGATTAAAAAATAATACAATGGGGGGGTGCTATAAACAAAATAAGGGTTAGTGATAATCATGGTGCCCTATAACTAGTATGCTTATATACAAATAGATTTTATATGTTATTTCAGTCTGTGCTTAATTGTATTCTTTAAATGTAAGAGTTCCCAATAGTTTCTAGTTTGCAATGTTCATTTTAGAGGATGAGTGGCACCTCTGAAACTATGAATGTAAACCAGAAGCTCATAGAATATGTTGTCACTATCAGTGCATGTAAACAGACTAGAGAAATCAAGCCAAACTTTCTATTGATGACAGTTGTCAAAGCTAGACAAAATATAAAAATTATCTCCATAAAGGCATCATAAAACTAAAAAAACAAAAACAAGAAAAACCAAAAGGAGTGAAAATTATGGAGCTAGTATGGCGTAAGGGCAGAAGTTCCAGAAAGTAAGGCAATCCCAGTGGGAGTTTTCATACTTCATAGAGAAGATTAAGTAGTTGAGATACTGAAAGGTATTTTTTAACAGGTCCACTATTACTAGGGTAACAGACATTGGAATCTTGGGTTTGCCACAGAGGAAGATGGGCTATAAATTCTCAGGAATAAGATTCTACTCATGCACTATTCTAGTAGAAGAATGGACTTGAAGATATCTATTGTTGACACACTAGCTCAACTTTGAACAATCATTTCAATCACTGGAGTTGGACTAAAGTGATCCCTGATTGCTAATGGCAACAAGCACTTCACAGACTCAAACACAAATTCTATTTGGAGGAGGAGAACATTGATTTACACCCCCAAATACTTCTTGCAATAGCTTTGCATGTCTGGCACACAATAAGAACCAGACAATGGGAAAGGTGTGGTGGTACATACCTTTAATCCCAGCACTGTGGATGCTGAAGCAGGAGGATTGCCAGGAGTTCAAGGCCAGCCAGGGCTACATAGTAAATTCAAGGCCAAATTGAACTGCATAGTAGGACCTTGAAGAGAGAGAGGGGAGGGAGACAGGGAGACAGGGAGAGAAGGAGACAGGGAGAGAGCGAGAAGGAAGAAGGAGAAGGAAGAAATGAGGGAAGGAAGGAAGGAAGGAAGGAAGGAAGGAAGGAAGGCAGGCAGGCAGGAAGGCAGGCAGGCAGGCAGGCAGGCAGGCAGAAACAAGCAGAAGCAGGCAAGCAACAAAGAGGGTAAGACACAGCTAGGCATGGAGGCATATGCCTGTAGTCCCAGCACACTGGGAGGCTGAGGCAGGAGAATCTCTCTCAAGTCCTAACAATTTAGCAAGGCCCTATCTCAAAAAACAAAAAGGGTTGGGGATGTAGTTCAATACCACGGCCTTGTGTTCAGTTCCCAGCATAGAGGAGGAAAGGAAGAAGGAGAAAGGGAGAAGCAGGAGGAGAAGAGAAGAGGGGAGGAGGGGAGGAAGAAGGAAAAGGCAAGGGGAGGGAAATGGCAGGGGAAAGGAAGGGAGGGAGAAACAATTGGGAAGTGGGAGGGGAAGGAAAGAGGAGGAAGAAAAGACATGAATAAAAACCAAAACAAACAACAGACTACAGAAATACCGAGATATATATCCACAGGACTTCAGATATTAGAGTTAAAAGACAACTTTGACATAATTGTGTTTGCTACAATCAAAACAAAAGAAATGATTAAAGGTGAAAATTCTGGAGTTGCAAAATAAAATTACGAATCTGGCGTGTAGGCTTAACAGCAGATTGGACATATGAACCAGAAAACAGGTCAGAAAATATCCATACTGCACGATGGAAAGAAAGGATAAAAAATATAGAAAGGAGAGTGCGTGGGTTCTATGATAAGGCCACGTTTATAGCTGTGGCGAGGGACACTAGTGGCCCGCACCCAGAAGACCTTGCTTCACAGGAGTGGAACCTGGGCACCAACCACATGCAGCATGCTCCGGGAAATTGTGCTTTGGCTGCGTGGCTGCCCTCCACCCGGACTGGCCCGGAAGGGGCGGGCTTCTTTGTGACTTAGCCCTACGTTATGGGGTGGTGCTTTTCCTCACTCACACTAACGCGCATGCTCAGTGCCTGACTTCGCAGCACCGCAGACTCCATTTTGATAGCGGCGAAGCCCAGCGACTGAGCGGAAACTCCGGAGGCCGAAGCAGTATAGGTGGTGCGGCACCATGCCTAGAGTTCCGCTAAAACTGGCGGTAGTGTGCTCCAGCAATCAGAACCGGAGTATGGAGGCGCACCATATCCTCAGCAAACGAGGATTCAACATCCGGTCCTTTGGAGCAGGAACTCACGTGAAGATTCCAGGACGAACCTTTGACAAGCCGAATATTTATGATTTCCAGACAACATATGAAGAGATATACAAGGATCTTGAAAGGAAAGATAAGAAATTTTATACACAGAATGGCATTTTCCATATGCTAGATAGAAATAAGAGAATCAAGCCTCGGCCAGAAAGGTTCCAGGACTGCAAGGATTTGTTTGATCTTATTCTCACTTGTGAAGAGCGAGTCTACGACCAAGTGGTGGAACATCTGAATTCCAGAGAACGGGAGACCTGCCAGCCAGTGCATGTGATCAACGTGGACATCGAGGACAACTTTGAAGAGGCCACCCTCGGGTCGTTCCTCATCTGTGACATCTGCCAGCGTATCCAGCTCACTGAAGACATGGACAGTGAGATCCAGAAGGTGCTGCAGGAGTTGGAGAAGAAGACCAGCAAGACCTTCCTGCACACTCTCTTCTTCTACTAAAGAGAACTGCTGCCCATCCTCCAAATCCATCTGGAGATTTGCTAGGACTTTTTCCTTCCTAATTCTTGTCTTTGACTGTTAGGCATTCTGCCAGTGAATGGGTAGTATTAGATTGTGGGGATCATGAGTATTGGTTGTAAGTATTGTTAACTCTAGTAACTCCATATGTGTTAAGTTTCTCCAGTTTAGCAGGTAGAGTGTTTCCTTTGTGGAATTCCTGAAAGTTGCAATTTCTTGTCTCTGACCTTTAGATGTGTGGTTGTCCGGGTTACTACTACTCACGGTGGGTTGTTTTGGTGAACCTGCTTGCTCTTTTCCTGTGTGACCTTTCAGTTACTATGGTAAACCCATCCCATAATAGTTTGTGGTTTTTTTGCTTTAAAAGGCCGGTGCTTGCCGGCAATAAACGTCTCCTTGATCAGACTCTTGTCTTGGCGTCCTTCCTTTCTCTCTGCCCCATCTCCACCCCGCTGCTCTTTCAGGTTTGAGACACTGCTGGACAGTGCTCTGCGTCGCCGGCTCGCGACAAGTGGCGCCCGAACAGGGACCTGGAATTGAAGCAGCGATGGGTGAGCAATCCGTGAAGCCTGCTGTCAAAAAGGGTTCGGCCGAACTGAAACAAGGAGGACACCGCTGTCTGGAACGCCCGGCGGGGAAAATCCTCGGAAGAAGCAGGTACCAATGGGGCACATAGGATCTAAGACAAAACTCAGCGTAGCAATTCAGTGTTTACTCAGGGAGAAAGGAATTAAGGCAAAGAAAAAGTCATTGTTTCAATTTCTTGATTGTGTGAATGAAACTTGTCTATGGTTCAGTGATGTAGAGGAAATAACTGACGATGTTTGGGATAGAGTAGGAGGAAAATTAAATGAAAAATTAAGGAGTCATAATTCTGACAGTGTACTAGCCGTTACATTTTCTTTCTGGTCTTTAATAAATGAGTGCTTACAAAAAAGGGATGTACAAGGCTTAGATAAACACCTTCGCTTACATAGTGTTAACCCCTCAGATGGGGACACAAGCTCTCCCCATGGGAGTATTTGGACCCCTTCCGAAAGGCAGTGTTGGAATAATCCTAGGAAGGAGTAGTTGGATTTTAAAAGGGCTTCATATTCATCCAGGAGTCATAGACACAGATTCTACGGGTGAAATAAAAATATTAGCTTCATCACCTGATGGCATTACTGTTATCCCTGCTCAGGAGCGGATAGCACAGATATTGCTTTGTCCTTATATAGAACAAGGAAGGTTTTTATTTCCTCAAAATAGGCAAAATAGAGCCTTTGGGTCTTCTGATGCATTTTGGGTCACGCCTATCCAACAAGATAAACCTGAATTAACAATTTGGATTAATAAAAAACAATTCAAGGGAATTTTAGATACTGGAGCTGATGTGAGTGTGATAGCTCAACAACATTGGCCCAAGAATTGGCCTGTCCAAGATACAGCCACCAGCTTAAAGATTTATTGTGTGTTGGTGGTGCTAGAGTAGGGCACCAACAATTGTGTAATTTATTAGAATTTGTAGAAATAGTTTGTCCTTGGTTTCCTTTCTTTGCTTCTGTGTCTTTCTTTTCCTGTTAATATCTGAATTGGTAATTTGTGATCGGGATCATTTTGGAGGGAGGGAGGTCCAGGCAGACGTGCTAGTGGACTCCCCGCAGCAGGGCCGGAGAGGTTCTTTGCCCCTCTGGTAGGAACTCTGTCTCTCTGTTTATGGGGAGGGAGGTTGATTTTTTTCCCCTCCTCAAGACCCTCTGGTCAGAGTGTTCTTCTGGTTTTGGAATGGGAGATTAAGGAGATTCCCTGACAGAGTCCCTGGTTCTTCTTTCGGTTTGGTTTTCATAAGTCTTTGTCTTACATTGTTTGGCTTCTTTTGCTCCAGCCTAGGAGTTGCTCACACTTCTGCTCTGCGACAGTCAGCTGTTAGTGAAAACTAGTTTTGGTAACACTTCTTGTGCATTGTTTTATACTGCGATTATAGGGTTAACTTGCTCTTTTAGGTTAATGGGCCAGATCTTGGGGCTACAGAAGAATATATGTTATGGGGTTATAATTTGGTTTAGTCCTTTTCTTTGAAAAGTTTTCACTTTTAATTGTGAAGGTGAAATATTTAGCATGATTTGTAAGCTCAGACATGTCTTCTTTTTGTGTTTGAACTTCTTGATGAGGTTAAGATGTTGTGATAGCTATTATTGCTGCAAGAAAAGCACAGAATTCTGCTTGTGTTTGAGGGTTAGAGAAGGAATTAACATTTTGAGGTAATATGCAAGGACGTTCAGTGTTGAAGATAGAAACCTAATTGTTTTAGAAGATAAGGTAAGGTCATTACTTATATCTGTTTAGCTACTATAGCTACTCTTAACTATTTTAATTGTTTCTAAGATTATTTTGTATAAGCCTGCTAGTCTTAGCATGTGTATACTAGTGTCACTTCTTATGTATGGTATAATAGCTTTTGACACACAAATTGTGTGGATTTGTAGGATTTCTTTTAAATTATTTTATTGAGATAATCTTGTATATCATTATGTGATACAGTGTAGTATTTTATTACATTTACATATTGTGAAATGATCGACTCAGGATGCTTAGGTTATCTATCATTTCAAACATTTATCATTTCTTAGTGATGAGAACATTCAGAATCCTGTCTTGTAGCCATGTTGAAGTACTCTTCAGTATTGTTGACTATAATAATCAGTGTAATAGAATGCCAGAACTTATTCTTCCCATCTGGCTGTGACTTTGACTTTGTATCTGTTGACCAGCCTGTCCCTCCCCACACACACTCCAAGCGAGGGTATGTTCTAAACTGACTATAGACCAAAATAAAGAACAAAATAGTAGTTTGTTATAGAAGGCTGATAGTAAATGAGATAGAAAAATATTAGGAAAGCTATAAGTAAGAGTTGTACTTTTAACATGAAAGGTTTTTGTATGTTCCTCTTGTCTTTACCTAAGAATGTAGAGAATGTTTATGGAAATGATTTATAAAATGTTTGCTTGTTGGTTTCAAGTTTGTTATAAAAGGTTTACATTTACAGTCAAGAAGAGTATTCATTCCTTTAACCCTAATTCTACAAGAGATCTCTGTTAATTTTGATCTGCAAAAATTTTGACTAGTCATAACAAAAAGATTTTATAATTCAATTGGCCAAAACCATCTGAGTGCACTCGTTAAAATTGTCTTATATGTTTGTCTGTCTTAAATGTTCAAAGATGTTTGTATGTTCTTGATCAAAATGACGTCAAATGCAAGTAGATTGTTGATTTCTACAACCTGGCTTTATAGGATCAAATAAAAAACTTAAAAGATAATTAAATACAACCTTTAAGTTTGGATACGCTCCTGTTGGTGAATAAAGAAGCAGCTGCTCAGAAAATTTATTCTGATCTTTGTTCACTAATGGAAGCTACCAAAATAATTTTCATAGCCTTATAAAAAGATATGCCTTGTTAAATATGTTGTTAAAAATGTCTATATTGGTTATCATCAAAGGTCTGAATTGTAAATATGTTATTGTAACATGTTTCTGATGGTTATCTTCACAATATACTATTTTCTATTTAAAAAAAAAAACAAAAAAAAAAGGGGGGAAGATCCTGTTGATACAAAGCTACATTTAAGGACATAAGAATTCATGTCTGGTATACAGGATGTATTTATATTGTTTGACCATGCAGGTTTTCCAGCATATTGTTTATGATAATAACCTTTTGGTCCAGGTATTCTCCTTTTTCTTCTGTTCCACCTACTTTGGTTACAGATATGTTTATAGACCTACCACTATCCCTGAACAGCTTGATATGCTGGGTTTCCACTGAGGAGACTGGATTGGGACCCCAACACTGGAGCAGCAGAGAGAACTCTAGGATGTGTCTCGGTGCACAAGCAGAGACTTTATTGTCCAGAACAAGGATTTAATGGGACTGGTGAATTAATAAGACATCTCAAGGGTTTTTGGACTGGTCACTCGAATATTCCATGGACTTAAGCTTGTCTGTAGGACTTTGGTGAGCAGATTCACGTTTTCCTCAAACCAACATTTGGAAACCTGCTGCTGCATTGGGAGAAATACGCTTATTGTCAGATGTCAAAGTTACTAGCCTTAGTTTGAATGTTTTTGGCATGGGGCCTCTAATATGTGAAATATCATAAATACTGTGTTATCTCAAATCAGGTTTATATACAGCGCAAAACATTACATGCGCTCATGGCCCTTAAGGAAGGGTCCTCCGAAAATTTGGGCATTTACCTCGCTCAGATAAAAAGAGCTTCAGTGAGGGTCCGGAAAGTCAAAGACGGGTAAGAGGAAAAGGTTTGACTGATCAACCTAAGACAGGGGCTTCTGTTAAATCTTCATCATGTTATAGGCCTGTAAGACAGATGACCCCAATGACGGGTAAGACAGCCAAATGCTTTTCCCAACCTAAGACAGGCTCGGACATGCCTATACTTTCTCTTAAGCTTCTTCTTGCTATGGAACCAAAGTTTTAAAACAAAAAGGGAGGAATTGTGGGGATCATGAGTATTGGTTGTAAGTATTGTTAACTCTAGTAACTCCATATGTGTTAAGTTTCTCCAGTTTAGCAGGTAGAGTGTTTCCTTTGTGGAATTCCTGAAAGTTACAGTTTCTTGTCTCTGACCTTTAGATGTGTGGTTGTCCGGGTTACTACTACTCACGGTGGGTTGTTTTGGTGAACCTGTTTGCTCTTTTCCTGTGTGACCTTTCAGTTACTATGGTAAACCCATCCCATAATAGTTTGTGGTTTTTTTGCTTTAAAAGGCCGGTGCTTGCCGGCAATAAACGCCGCCTTGATCAGACTCTTGTCTTGGCGTCCTTCCTTTCTCTCTGCCCCATCTCCACCCCGCTGCTCTTTCAGGTTTGAGACACTGCTGGACAGTGCTCTGCGTCGCCGGCTCGCGACATTAGATCAATAAACTATGCATACAAAACTTAAAGATATGCATGAATATGACTAAAAATAAGGAAATGTTTAAC